ACGTGGGTCTTTGGGGCATATAATCAAGGAATTAGCCCCAGGCATCACCAGACCTCTGCACGCCACTGGATCCATTGCAGTTCATAAAAATATTTCTGAGCCAGATATGAAAGATACAAGCCAGATCAACCAGGCTGTGATGGATATGTGAGTCAGTGGGCCACCAGCAGTAACAACCTGGTTGACCAGGCAAGCACCAGATGAACCTGGCCCAGGGCTGGGCTCTAGGCATAGAAGAACTCTTGGAACTCATCAAAGGTATATACCAAGGGTATCAGCAAGATACTTGAGTTCTTTAGAATTAATGGTTGTAAAAGTTAGTAAATAAGGTTTAAATTTAATTGTTTCCTTGGTAGGGAGTCAGTGCTGCTGATACAATTAGGGACCAGTAGGAACCCCAGGTGGGAGCAAAAATACCAGTTTAGCTGCACAGTTCTGTACAAACTAAAGTTTTAAGCAAGTAATTAGGCAAACCCACAAGCATATAATTACAAAAATATATTCAGGAGGAAACAAATGCATAGAAAAGGACTAGAATACTCTGTATATCAAGATACTTTCTAACTGCATAAAGATTATGAATATGAACATTGCGAGGTTTAACTATCGAGTTAATCTTTCTTCTTTCAACAAACTAGTCATATCCCACTGAGGCAGGTTGGCCCAAAAAGAAAAACAAAAGTTTCTTTTTTTAAATTCAGTAATTTATACAGGAGAAGAGGTTACTAGCTCCTTGCTCCCGGGATTTAAGTCACCTCTTACTACATGCATGGCTTACAGAGGAAGAATTCTGTTCCACTTCCCTATGGAGTATCTAGTTAACCCTTAAACTGTCCAAACAGATTTACGTTCACATGCGTAGTGCTCCAAAAACAGATCTTTGTTTTTTTTACATATTTTCAAATAATAAAAAAAAAAAAACGTAGATCAAAGTTTTTTTACACGTTTTCAAATGTAAAAAAAAAAAAAGATTACTTTTTTTACATACTTTCAAATGTTGAAAAAAACGTAGCTCTACATTTGGACAGTTTAAGGGTTAATACAGCTTCTCACTTAATGACGGAGTTCCGTTCCTGAGACCACGTCGTTAAACGAATTCATTGCTAAGTGAGGAGCATACTATAATGATAGTGAGTTTGTGTCAACCATCTTTGATATTGTTTTAGTGTCACCTTTGCACCATTTATAACATTTCTGGTATATTTTTAAATATTTATACAGTAGCATACTGTATATTGAAATAAACAGAATAGAGGAAATCAGTTCTAATATACATTATTTAGGTATGAATACAGTGGACCCCCGGTTAAGGATATTTTTTCACTCCAGAAGTATGTTCAGGTGCCAGTACTGACCGAATTTGTTCCCATAAGAAATATTGTGAAGTAGATTAGTCCATTTCAGACCCCCAAACATACACGTACAAACGCACTTACATAAATACACTTACATAATTGGTCACATTCGGAGGTAATCGTTATGCGGGGGTCCACTGTACTGGTCAGAGAGCCTGTCGTAAGTCTGAGGCATCGGTAAAAGAGTACATATATGCCGCTAAGTGAGGAGAGGCTGTATATTATATTAACACATCGGTTATTTCCCACCAAGGTAGGGTGGTCCGAAAAAGAAAATCTTTTCATCATTCACTCCATCACTGTCTTGCCAGAGGTGTGCTTACACTACAGTAATAAAACTACAACATAACACCCCTCCTTCAGAGTGCAGGCACTGTACTTCCCATCTCCAGGACTCAAGTCCAGCCTGCCGGTTTCCCTGAATCCCTTCGTAAATGTTACCTTGCTCACACTCCAACAGCTCATCAAGTCCTAAAAACCATTTGTCTCCATTCGCTTCTATCTAACACTCTCACGCGTGCTTGCGGGAAGTCCAAGCCCTTTGCACACAAAACCTCCTTTACCCCCTCCTTCCAACCTTTCCTAGGTCAACCCCCTACCCTGCCTTCTCTCCACTACAGATTGATACGCTCTCAAAGTCATTCTATTTTGTTCCACCCTCTCTACATGTCCGAACCACCTCAACAACCCCTACTCAGCCCTCTGGACAATGGTTTTGGTAATCCCACACCTCCTAATTTCTAAACTATAAATTCTCTGCATTATTTTCACACCTCACATTGCCCTCAGACATGACATCTCCACTGCCTCCAGCCTTCTCCTTTTTGCAAGATTTACTACCCTTGCTTCACACCCATATAAGAGCATTGGTATAACTATACTCTCATACATTGTCCTCTTTGCTTCCATGGACAGATTTCTTTGTCTCCACAGACTCCTCAGTGCACCACTCACCTTCTTCCCCCTGTCAATTCTATGATTCACCTCATCTTTCATAGACCCATTTGCTGACATATCCACTCCTAAATATCTGATTGCATTCACCTCCTCCATACTCTCTCCCTGCCTAATAAATGACAATGACAAAACCCAGGTAAACACTTAGATCATTCAATGATGTGGCAGGCTGCAAACTAAAGGTGCCACAGTCATAGTTACCAAAATCTCAAATCTATATTCCTCTGAGATTTCTCTTAACATTCAAAAATCTGTCTTATCCTCATTTAGTTTCAATTTTCCACTTGTTTTCCAAATCTGGACATGCAGCAGTAAGTGGGACCCCCTTTATGACTCATAAAACTGTAGTTACATATTGCAAACAAACCACAGAATAGGTGGGGAAGGAACCCATGGCAGGTGAATCCAGGCCACTGCATAAGCCACTTGGCCAGCTGGCTACAATAAGATTCATTCAATTAGGTATATTTATATACACCATAGGGAAGTTAACATGTTCTCCCCCTCTTTTTTAGCACCTGTAGCATTATTTTTTTGTTTTTATTAACACACTGGCCAATTCCCACCAAGGCAGGGTTCCCCGAAAAACGAAAAACTTTCACCATCATTCACTCCATCACTGTCTTGCCAGAAGGGTGTTTTACACTACAGTTTTTAAACTGCAACATTAACACCCCTCCTTCAGAGTGCAGGCACTGTACTTCCCATCTCCAGGACTCAAGTCCGGCCTGCTGGTTTCCCTGAATCCCTTCATAAATATTACTTTGTTCACACTCCAACAGCACGTCACGTATTAAAAACCATTTGTCTCCATTCACTCCTATCAAACACGCTCACGCATGCCCACTGGAAGTCCATTAGCATTATTAGTATTAATTTTAGGTGCCATGGATAATATCTAGAGACCAGAAAGAATGATAAAAATATCCAAAATAGTTTGATAAACACATGATGCGACTGGAATGCAACTGGAGGTATTGTGGATTGTTAATGGGATGGAAGGAGTCATGTCCCATGACATGTAATGCCCAGAGTTTGCATGTAACTTAATGCTATGGCATGAAGTACCATTATAGAAGTATCAATATAGAAGGGGCTTAATAACTAAAAAATTTATCAAACACTATACATCAGTCCTCACCAAATTAATCAGAAAGTCCAAGCAACTATACTATTCTAATAGATTCACTGAAATGAGAGGAGATAAAGAAGACCTGGAAGACACTCTCTGTCAGATCCTGGGCACCCACAAACTGAACAGAGATAGTAATATTGTACTAACTAAACCAAATGAACTGAAACTCCAGCCTGTTGATACAGCTAACAAGATAAATGTCTTCTTCTCAACCATAGGATCAAATCTCACCAGTAAAATTCCAGTTACCAATACTCCAGCTAATGATTTTCTAGATGGACACTTCCCAACATCCCTCTACCTTGCACCAACAGAGCCCACTGAGGTTACCATGATTATTAACTCTATAAAAAAGAAATCAGGAAATGTAACCCAAGTACCACCACTACTGTACAAACAAGTGGCTCAAATCCTTTCACCCACCATTGCATTACTCTTTAACAAATCACTCGAAACCAACACCTTTCTGGCATTACTCAAGGTAGCAAGGATTTCACCAATAAATCAAATCAAATCAAATCAAGGTGGTGACTTACAGACTTTGAGACTTGTCTTTATTGCACAAATGTTTTACCATCCAATGTCTTTATAAATCTGATAGAGAAAAGGTGAAAAATATAATTTTAAGTGGTTGGTTCCTCAGCCTTGATAACTGAAATAGTAGCACAAGGATCTTGATTTGTATATGGGAAACAGGTGAGGTGAAGCAGTTGGAGATGGTGCCACAGGTGGGTAGAACTTACTTGTGGAGGTAGGTTATACCAATAGGTTATCAAGCATTCTATAATAAAGTGCTTGATTAAGCTATTGGAATGACCTCTGTGAGATTGTCTCTGCTGTTAGTAACCCACACACTTTGTGTGACCTGTTAGATTGTCTCTACCTTTAGCAACCCACATACTTAACAACCTGCTTCTTTGTATCCCTTTTTGGTGACCTGCACACTTAGCAGATTGCTCTATTGTTTCAAACTTTATTACACACACTTTTAGAATCATTGTTGAAACCTCAACAGTGACAACTGTTTTCCCTCTTGTCTTCTAATTGTTTTTCCTTGTGCTTTTTTCTATTTTCTCTGCATTTTTTTCTTCTTCCCCACTTTTCTTTGCTTGTTGAGTAATTTTTCACATTTTCTGCTTCTCTCATAGGATAGACAAAGAAATACATGTAATTATTGTTTTTTTTTTTTTTTCCGTGGAAAATTTTAGCACATGAAGGAATTTGAAATGGCTTGCCAGTTCTTCAGCAAAGGTAGGCTAGGGGAACAAGTGAACATATTTCTTCAAGGAAAAGTAACTATATGGAATAGATGAAGTCAGTCTTTCAAGGAAGGCAGGCTAGAGGAAAAAAGAACAGTCATTTCCTCTTGAAAGGCAAGTTAGAGAGAACAAATGAAATCACTCCTTCAAAGAAGGCAGACTAAAGGAACTAAGCATCAAAGATGTAGAAAGAAAAGAAACTGGAGATAGATTTGGAGTATGAAAGTGTGGTTCAGGTAGCTCTAAGAAATATTTAATAACATATTTTTGATTAACAAATTTTTAATGTTTCAGTGGGACTAGTGGACCTAGGGGAGATGAGGGCAGTAAAGGTAGACAAGGAGTAGTCAATTGGCCAGCTGGAGCAGAACTCATAATGTACATGGGTGAAAAGGGTTTTCGAGGTAAGATACAAAATAATATGAGTTGCATAGTTTTCATTTAATACAATTATTGTGCATATAGTATTGCCAAACATATTGACAACAGTAAACTAATAATGGTACTTTATATTAAAACTTTACTTTCATCTCTTGTTTTTCTAGAAATAAGTTCTTAAGTCTTTCATTAGTTCATTGTTTCCATAATTAAAGAACTGCCTTAATTATGCTTTATAATTTTTTTTCATAATTTTCTAAATTCATGAATCACTTCTCATACATTATTTTTTTTAATTAAATGCCTATGTTCCATGCTTGACAAGCATGGGGTGACCAACTTTTAGTCACCTATTCAAAATTTCATAATACGTACATTATGGTACAACCTTGATATTCTTAAACCTTTGTCAAGGCTGAGCAGTTTCAGTGTTGCAGTTTTCCAGATCACAGAAGCATATTCAGGAGGGCCCCTTATAAACAGCACCCTCTTTTCGGTGCTTCATGTTTTTGTTGGCTTCAAATTGAGCTCTTGTTCAAGCCTATGGCCTGGGGGTAATTGAGAGGCCATGGCATCTGGAGGTGCCATTTCACTATCCCAAAGGAAGAAGAACAGACAACCAATAACCAACATTCTGGGAATTTACAATGATGTACAGATGCAAGAGACCACAAAAGCATCAAGTCATTAAAGGGCAATAGGATGTTTCATACTTAGGCTTTGGATACCCAGCATACCATGACCCAAAGTTTAAATAAAAGGTTGAATGTGTAAACCTCTTCTGAAGTAATAATTGTTTTTTAAGACGGCTATTTTCCACCGAAGCAGGGTGACCTAAAAAGAAAGAAGGAAAACTTTCATCATTCAACACTTTCGCCATCACTCATACAAAATCACCGTCTTTGCAGAGGTGCCCACATATAACAATTTAGATGTCCATCTATACTGCCAATATTACAACCCCTCCTTTAAAGTGCAGGCATTGTACTTCCCATTTCCAGGACTCAAGTCTGGCTAGCCGGTTTCCTTGAATCCCTTCACAAAATATTTCCCTGCTCACACTCCAACAGCTAGTGAGGTCCAAAATACTATTCGTCTCCATTCACTCCTAACATGCTCATGCACACTTGCTGGAAGTCCAAACCCCTTGCCCACAAAATCTCCATTACCCCCTCCCAATCTTTCCTAGGATAATGCCTACTCTGCCTTTCTTCCACTACAGATTTATAATCTCTCCAAGTCACTCTGTTCCATTCTCTAAATGACCAGATCACCTCAACAACCCCTCTTCAGCCAATTTCACTGTACTAGTCGACAAAAAACATGAATATTTCGCTAGAACTCCATTTTTTCTATCGAATGGGTGCAAGAAACCACCCATTTATAAATTCAACTATCCAGTACAGTGGTCAGAATTTAGCAATTTTGCCAATTTCACACAAATTTCAAAAGATGCCAATTTCCGAATAGGGTCCAGAATAAACAAGAAAGACATTCCTGGCACTAAAATGACATTTCCTCTAGTCATTAGTCACGTCTCAAGGGCCCTCTTATATCCTTTTGCTTTCCACTTTGAATTTTTATTCTCACAAAAAATATAAGATTTACTGTTATGCAGACTACTGCATTAGTGTAAAAAATGGTATAAATATTATTGGTGCACTTGTAAAAGAATATTAGACTCACCAGTTGACGTGTATTGCACGCTTGGCACGATTTGTTTACTTTTGAAGTTTGGTAAAAATCGAACATTTCTGCTACTTTGAGCTCAATTTCAAGGCACCTTTCATTGTAAAACCAGTCAAACTCATCTCAATTTCTGTAATATGTCTTCCATTCTATAAAATGAGACCAAGAAAACTAGAATACAACAATAAATACCATACGAAAATACACTGCAAAGTCGCTGATTTATTAAAAAAAAATGGTCAAAGTTTTTTTTTTCTCATTATGCACTGTGTGCTGCAGGATTTTTTTTAGACTGTGCACACTGACCACATAGACCCATTCTTTCACATGAAGGCCTACCAGCTTTCTCCCACTAGATTTGAGGCTGCTAGAATTTATGAGTACTAGTACGTCAAAAACCCCTACGCGTAAAACGTACTAGTACGACCAAAACCCTCAAAGGGTTAACCCTTTGAGGGTCGACAGGCCCTCTCCGAAACTCGTTCTCAGGGTCGGCCAAATTTCAAAAAAAAAAAATTATTTTTTCTTATGAAAAAATAGAGTTTTTTTTTCTAAACATTATAGGATAAACAAAAAAAATTTACCATCAATACTTACGGAGATATGGATGCATGAAGTTTGCAGAAAATGAGCCGCGTATGGCAACAGCGGCGACTGCCGCTCACCCGGTAAACTTTAGTTTACTTGTATTTGAAGGTTTGTTGTTTTTTTCACTATTTTATTTTTTCACATAACTTATGTGGCCTATGAGACCAAAGTAAGGTGCAATGTACATATATACACTCGTTGTATACAACACAATAAGCACACAAACATAATTATCAATATATTGTTTACAAAACTTGTTTACAAAAACAAACAATACAAAACATTGTTTATTATTATTGTTCTATAATATATATACCAATATACAGTCACTGAACATATTCCTATTAGTTCTGCAGCTTGTGGAACTCTGAAACATGGTGTCATACACAATGGTGTTTTATCTTTCTCCCTCATTCTATCTCTTTCAATCTGTCTCTCTCTTTCTATCTGTCTGTCTATCTCTGTCTCACAGGTACACATAAATACAAGTATACATAGTATAAATTACCTAGGATAACCCAAGAAATCCAGACAAAGTGCTATACTCTGCTTGAAGATGTGAGTAAAAGTGATGACACAGTCTTATGGCTCTCTCTGAGACAGAGAGCTAGATGGATAGACAGATAGACAGGGAGCTTGACAGACAGACAAATAGACAGACAGAAATGTTAGTGTACCAGTACCAGTGTACTAGTGTTCCACCCTCCTCCTCCTCTTCTTCCTCTTCCTCCTCTTCCCCCTACTCTTCCTCCTCTTCCCCCTACTCTTCCTCATACTCTTCCTCTTCCTCCTACTCTTCCTCTTCCTCCTCCTCCTCTTCCTCCTCCTCCTCTTCCTCCTCTTCCTCCTCCTCCTCCTCTTCTTCCTCCTCCTCTTCTTCCTCTTTCCTACCTTACTCTTCCTCCTACTCTTCCTCCTCCTCCTCCTCTTCTCCTCCCTTCTCTCTCCTCCCCTTCCCCCTAATCTTCCTCCTACTATTCCTCTTCCTCTCCTCTTCCTCTTATTCCTCTTCCTCCTACTCTTCCTCTTCCTCCTCCTCCTCTTCCTCCTCCTCCTCTTCTTCCTCTTCCCCCTACTCTTCCTCCTTCTCCTTCTCCTTCTCCTCCTCCCCCATAGTGTAAATTACCAGGAGTCGGCAGCTGTCAAAATGACATATTGTCTCATTACTCACTCCCCCCTCCAGCCTGTCAAAATAATGGGGTCGGATGCTGCTTCCCTTCCTCCATTCTATCTAATTATCTTTCTCCCTCATTCTATCTGTCTTTTTATCTCTGTCTCACAGGTACACATAAATACAAGTATACATAGTATAAATTACCTAGGATAACCCAAGAAACCCAGACAAAGTGCTATACTCTGCTTGAAGATGTGAGTAAAAGTGATGACACAGTCTTGTGGCTCTCTGAGACAGAGAGCTAGACGGATAGACAGGGAGCTTGACAGACGGGCAAATAGACAGACAGAAATGTTAGTATACCAGCAGAAACAAAGGGAGGGAGATGTTTATCTCATCTTTTGGCATCAGCTCTACCCTCATTTACCCTCATCAAACGTATGCTTCTAGACTGTTGTATTCTGAGCACCTCTGCAAAAACAGTGATAATGTGCGAGTGTGGTGAAAGTGTTGAATGATGATGAAAGTGTATTTTCTTTTTGGGGATTTTCTTTCTTTTTTGGGTCACCCTGCCTCGGTGGGAGACGGCCGACTTGTTGAAAAAAAAAAAAAATATAAAATATACGTATATACGTATATATATATTATATATATATATATATATATATTTATATATATATATATATATAAAATGTATATATATATATATATGTGTGTGTGTGTGTGATTGGTGAATGATGAACTAAAGGGTGATAAAAGAGAAAAAGGTAGCTTATGAGAGGCTTTTACAAAACAGAAGTGTTATAAGAAGAGCAGAGTATGTGGAGAGTAAAAGAAAGGTAAAGAGAGTGGTGAGAGAGTGCAAAAGGAGAGCAGATGATAGAGTGGGAGAGGCATTGTCAAGAAATTTTAATGAAAATAAGAAAAAAATTTGGAGTGAGTTAAACGAGTTAAGAAAGCTAAGGGAAAGTATGGATTTGTTCAGTTAAAAACAGAGTAGGTGATTAGTAGATGGGGAATGGAGAATTCGGTAGATGGAACAATTATTTTGAGGAACTTTTAAATGTTAAGGAAGAAAGAGAGGCAGTAATTTCATGCACTGGTCAGGGAGGTATATATCTCAATATTATATATAATATTATATATATATATATATTATATATATATATTATATATAATATTATATATATATTGGGCACGACTTCAACAGACATGCACATGCATATAATAACATACAATCAGTTTTTTCTTTTCCTCCTTTTTCTATCATAGCTCTTGTTCTTCTTTATTTCTTCTATGTCCATGGGGAATGGAAAAGAATCTTTCCTCTGTAATCCAGGCGTGTCGTATGATGGCAACTAACATGCCGGGAGCATGGGCTAGTAACCCTTCTCCTGTAGACCTTTAAGTAAAAAAGAGAAAAAGAAGAACTTTATAAAACTGGATGCTTTGAATGTGCGTGATGTAGTGTCGGATGACAAGAAAACATGATTGCTGATGTTATGTATGAAAAGAAGTTGTGTGACCTGGCCCTAACGAAACAAAAGCTGAAGGGGGTAGGGGAGTTTCGGTGGGGGGAAATAAATGGATTAAATCTGGAGTATCTGAGAGAGTTAGAGCAAAGTAAGGGGTAGA